GTCCCACTGTATCCCAAACTGAGAAATTTACAACCTCCCCCTCTGAATGCTATGAACTAGGCTGGGCAATGGTTGAGCACACATGTGGTAGCTTGCCTCTCTCTGATTATCCTGCCAGCACCCTCAGGCTGCAGCAATTGAAGGTGTGCCAAAGGAAAAAGGAGAAGAGTGTCCTAATGGAACAAACTACATTTGCTCTCAATTCAGCCTGGAGCCCGAGGAGAAGCAGATGCGGACATGTTTTTCTCAGTGAAGTGTCTTGTGAACGTGTCACAGCAGGCAGGACTCTGAGTGACTTAAAGATGGCTAACACCCCCCCCCCAGCTCCAAACATAATACTTTTTTGGGTTCTTTGATTGACTGGTTATGCCATCACTTCTGCTATTAGTTGTGCTATATAAAAATGTGCAAATTCAAAGTGAGGAAGAGAAGTTTAAAACCACAGCAGGTTCTAATTTATGGATAGAACCAAGGTAAGGATAAAAAGTTAGAAGGGCTTAAAATCAGCTCTTCCGTGGGAGAACCTAGGCCAAAAGCTAAGGCTATTTTCACTAGTGACACTGAGGCCCCGGTCACACTGGGGGAAAAGGTGCAGCTGAAGTGCAGCTTTTTTGAGCCGCATCAAAAGAGACGCGCAGTGGCGGGATCAGACAGATCCCCTGAGCCGCCACGCAGTTGCTCCCCGGCACAATCAGATGCTGGGGGGGGGGAAGCCACAGATCAGTGTGCAGTTTGGCCGGGGGGCTCGCATGGTGCCGGAGACGGGCGCGCCGGTGATCCCACGGCCGCCCCTGCTGCGGATTTTCAGGTAAGTAGGGGGTTTTTTGATCCGCATCTTCGGCCGGAAGAGACAGATGGTGTGGTGTGATCGCGCCCGCTTGCTGCGCCCCCGATCCATCCCTCTCCCGAATCAAAGCCTCCCGTGTAACTGGGGCCTTAGGCTGTCTTTTGGAGATCTTCCCTTTAAAGCAACCTGAAATAATCCCATTGGTTAATAGGTATAGTTCAAAGGGGGCTTCTCTGCCCCCTGCTTTTTGGCAGGCAAAAATGTATAAGCAGGTAATGTGTTCTAGTCTACAAGGCATTTCTAGTCTTGCTGCAGGCAGAACATAATCTTTTTTAGCTCTTTTCTTCAGCAATTCCGTGGCAGAGTCTGCCACTAGCTACACAATATTGGTTTGTATAAAAGTGTACAAATTTAAAGTGAGGGAAGTTTGAAACCGTGGCTTAAATGCCTATTGTGTGCCCAGTGCCACCTCAATACAGTCTAAGGGCTTTGCTGGCATTTATTTACTGAACTTCAAGTGAACTGAAAGTTCCAAACAGCTGAATTTGATAAATTGCATAAAACAAACAGAGATGTTCTGCTGGAGGGAGACCTCATTTGATTGCACCTTATCTGCACCATCTCTGCAAAAGATTGTTTAAACTTGGGGGGGGGGGAGAAGGGAGAGATCCACATGGTTAATTAGTAATGTTGTCCTTGATACATCTGGATTAAAGTGAAGTTCTGTAACAGCCTAACTGATGCAAACTTTTTGATGCAATCGAGCTGACGTTAAGCATTTTTAAATTCACTAGATTTCAGAGTAAGAGTTAAACAACTACTTAATAGCTTCATATTGAAATCAATTATACTTTTGTGTTTAACTCTGGCTAAAACATGGCCTTTTCCTTTTGCCAGTTCACATTTAAGAGTACATTTCTGGTTATGCACAAAAAGCAATAATGGTTCCTTGCTGCTCAGTATTATTATCATGACCCCAGGGGATCGCCACCTTCCGCCGGATTTGATTCCTCACTCCTCCACTTGCACCTGCTGGATGACCTTGGGCAAGCCATAGTTCTGGCACAGCTGTTCTTGAAAAAGAGCAGTTTCTGTCAAGAGCTCTCTCAGCCCCACCTACCTCACAGGGTGTCTGTTGTGGGGAGGAGAAGGGAAAGGAGTTTGTAAGCCGCTCTGAGACTCCTTTGGGTAGTGACGGGTGGGGTATAAATCCAATCTCCTCTCCTCCTCCTCTTCCTTCCCTCCCCAAACCCCACCCTCTCCCAGATCCACCCCCAAAGTCTCCAGGTATCTTCCAACCCAGACCTGGCAACCATAGTGTGTTGCCTTTTATCATTACATCAGTGACAATGGTGGATTTAATTCAGTAGACCTTAATCAACTGTGCCTGATTTTCATGCTTCATTTTGTGACATCTTTTAATAAGAAAACTTGGTTTCTATGATAAAATTCATTTAGGCTTTATTCTTCCTGAAAGATTTGTCTGCCTATAATTGTATATAGCAAGCAAAATATTACCAGGTTTTTTCCCATGTTTGAGCCTCACAAACAGAGAGAGAGTCAGACCATTTATCTAGCAAGATCGGTATTACCCACTCTGTCTGACAGTCTTTCTCCAGGGTCTTGTGTGGAGAGCTGTAACTCGAGGTGCTAGGGATGAAACTTGGGATCTTCTGTATGCAAGGCAGATGTTCTGCCAATGAGTCATGGTCCCTCCCCTTCCATAGTACATTGCTGGAATAAGCTGGCAATAGTGGCATTTTTTGATGTGTATATTCTTCTGCATCAGAGCTGCCTGTTCTATGAAGGGCATGAGTTCTGTACTGTGTATAATACCAAATTAATATGTTGTTATTTGGAAATTCAACATCAGTTTTTAGCTTGTTGTTGGATAAGTGTCTATTGGTAAGAGCTTGCAGGTTCTCAGAACTGACACCTGAAGGAGAATAAAGAATCCCTAACTGGACACTGATTCACTTAAAGTTCACAGTCTGGATACTAAGCAGTTGACATGTGAAAGTGAGCATGACAGTTGTTTTTGGGATGATGATGATGATAAATAAGAAGGGGGGTTTTATGCCCTGCTTTACTCTACCTTAAGGAGTCTCAAAGTGGCTTACGATCTCCTTCCCTTCCTCTTCCCACAACAGCCACCTTGTGAGGTAGGTGGGGCTGAGAGAGTTCTGAGAGAATTGTGACTGGCCCAAGGAGGAGTGGGGAATTAAACCCGGTTCTCCGGATTAGAGTCTGCCTCTCTTAACCACTACATCACACTGGCTCCCACTCTGGGATATAAGAATATTCAGGCTTCTTTACAATCGAGGATCCATTTTTAGGTAGTCGTATCCAAGAACGAAAATGACAACAATTTCCAAACTAGTGAGCCATGGGAGAATCTAACATACTTGTGAAATGAAATAACTTGAAGGTTTCTGTAGCCACCCACAGAAGATGTTGCCTCCTGCATTTCTGCAGGATTTACTGTTCTGGTCTTGCCCCCTTCCATTGGCCTGCACTGTGGTTGGCTGGGCCTGCTACGTTTCTTCATCAGATGTGATTGAATAATTCAGTCAGCTCTGACAGGAGATGCAGCAGAGCTGCTGGCCCTCAGAAGAATGTCCTTTCTCCAGCAGAGTGCTTTCACTTAAAGTGGAGGACAATCTCTGAAAAGGCCTGAAGGGGAACAAAGGTTATAGTCACACTGGAATACAGAGCTCCTCTCCAAACAAGAAGCAGCCAGTGCCTTTATTTTGTAATAAATGAGGCCAGCCACAAGTTAAGATAATTTCAGGGGGTAGCCATGTTGGTCTGGCATAGGACAGCTAGATTCAAGTCCATAAACGCATTAGAGACCAACAAGATTTTCGGGGTATAAGCTTTTGAGAGTCAAAGCTCTGTCTCTTTGAAAGTTTATACCCTGAAAATCTTGTTGGTTTCAAAAGTGCTACTGGGCTTGAACATGTAAAATAATTAGAGATCAGTGGAGCTCCTGAAATGGGCAGCCATCCAATAAACTTAGAAACAAATATCTATCACATTTTAATGCAGTTCTCCCTCCAAGGAGTTCAAAATAATTATGGTCCTCTATGCCTCCATTTATTCTAACTTGCCTTAGGCTGGAGGAAACTGCACCAGTCTTGGGAGCCTTCCTCCAACTTGTGGCTCTTCTGTTGGAGAGAAAAGTTACTTAAGTTGGAGAAGGCTTCAAACTTGGCTCAGTAGACTGGCAGGAAGGAGAAGAAGAAGAAGGAGGAGGAGGAGGAGGAGGAGGAGATTGGATTTATACCCCACCCTTCACTATCCAAAGGAGTCTCAGAGCGGCTTACAAACTCCTTTCCCTTCCCCTCCCCACAACAGACACCCTGTGAGGTAGGTGGGGCTGAGAGAGCTCTGACAGAAAATGCTCCTTTTCAGGAACAGCTGTGCCAGAACTATGGCTTGCCCAAGGTCATCCAGCAGGTGCAAGTGGAGGAGTGGGGAATCAAACCCGGTTCTCCCAGATTAGAGTCCACGCACTTAACCACTACACCAAAGGACACGTGCCAGTGATTACCACAAGGACATCCAATGAGTTTCATGGCTGAGTGGAGACGTGAACCCTGATTTGGCCAGTTCTAGTCTAGCACTACAACACAAGGTCTTTTTTATTAGTCTACTATGTATAAAACCTCTGCTCATTTTCTCACAGGTTAACATTCTGTAGGGTGGTATTTCTGCTTGAACAAACAGGCCTTTGCAGCAAGCCTGTACTGTTCTTGATATGAATAGGGCTGCCAAATCCCCCTGGGGGGCGGATTTCCCCCCTCTTTGGAGGCCCGATTTCCGCCCCCGCGGAATCGGGCCCCGGGGGAAACCCCACCCCCGCGTGCACGTCACCCGGATGTGACGTCGCACGCTGGGGGCGGGGCCACAGCCATTTGAGGGTTTTCCCCTGTGGCCCTGCCCCCAGCATGCCCGGCATAATGATGTCACATCCGGGTGACGTGTGCACCGTGTGCGCGCGTGTGCACCGGGAGCTGCCCAGGAGTCCCCCGCCAAGGAGGTGAGTGCCATTTGGCAACCCTAGATATGAAGTTCTGGTGCTTTGGTGAAAACTGAGTAGAAAATGATTATTTAGGCACAGTGTTATGCCTGAAGAAGTAGACAATTAATGTGTTCTCTGTTTTAACCTGGAAAGGCCTAATCCCATCATCATTTTGTCTCTTTCTTCTAGTGTAGAGATTGGCGAAAGTGTCAGAGGGGAAGATGTGTACATTGTCCAGAGTGGTTGTGGCGAAATAAATGACAATCTGATGGAGCTTCTCATCATGATTAATGCTTGCAAGATTGCCTCCTCCTCCCGTGTCACCGCAGTCATCCCATGTTTCCCTTATGCCAGGCAAGATAAGAAAGACAAGGTATGTGAGGTGCAGTTACTGGTTTACCAAAGTAGAATAACTTTTGCAAACTGAGAAATGTATTTAAGGTCATGAGTAAGCTAGACTAACTAAGGCTGCCCCCTAAAGATTCTTAAGTGGTACCAGGTTTCACTAAAATAGGTGGAATATGCTTCCAAGTGATTATTGTTTCAGTGCTACCAACTACAAGCATGGCTACATCCCTGATCCTGCCACTCATCCCACAACTCATGGAAAACAAGGTGGGCTGCACTCCATAGTATTGTGTCACAAACCCCAGAAGCAAGACAGGTCTCCTCTCCAAAAGGCACTTGCCAAATCAAAAGTAGTATCGATCTGCTTCGTGTCATCATGTTGCAACTGCAAATGTGTGGGGATGCTTTTATGTTAATAGGTTACATCTGAATATCTATTCCTTAAATGTGGGACAATCTGCAGATATCTAAATCCATGGATCTAGCCCACATTGAAAGAAGAGAGACTTTTCTCCAGTCTTGGGGGGAAACCCCAAGGTTTGCAGAAAAATCTTTAAACTTTTAAAAACACATTGAGGGGGTTAAATCCCTCCAAAACAAAAACATTGTCTGTGCATGCACAGAGTGCTTAAAGAATGACACAGCTTCTGCTGACAAGGGGTGAGGGAAGAAATGGGGGGAGTGAGAGAGGATTGCCAGAGAAGGTGGTGGGGGAGAAAGAAAGGGGAGAAGACTGACATAGAAGAGGTATGGGGAGATGGGGAATGAGGGGAAATTGATAGGCAAGGGGTTGGGGCAGAAAGAGAGGGGGGAACATTGACAGAGAAGAGGTGGAGAGGGAAGGAGGGGGATGCCCCTCCCCCAAGTTTCTTGTTCCATATAAATATGGAATATCAGTGGCTTTCTGCATTTGGCCAGATATATAAAGCACTGGTGGGGGGGAGTGGCATGGTATAGCCCAATATTACAAGCTAAGCAGGGTCAGTACTTGTTTGGGAGACCACCAAAGAAGGGTCTGCAGAGGGAGGCAATGGCAAAACACCTCTACTTTTTACTTGCCGCGAAAGCCCCTTTCTGGGTTCTGTTGTGACTTGATGGCCCATGCACACGTTTAACCAACTGCATATAAAGCATCAACCTTCTTTACTTCTCTGGGATTGCTAGAGGAAAAATGGGGCCACAAATGTCAGTGGGAAGACTGAAGGTTTTAGCAGTTTACAAACAACTCTGATATCTGCCGTTGGGAGTAGAGCAGAATTTACAGAAGGACTCAGCTTGGCTAGGTCAAAAGGTGTTTGAGGGTGAGGAATCTTCAATCTGGGGAAACGGCACTGTCTCCTTTTCTTTAATGGTTTCCTTTTTAAAGCAGCCCTGGAAACAATGGAAGCTAGCTTCGTAAAGCAGGTGAGAAAATTGTTTTCTGAAATTGCTGAGCAGC